CTTTTTTTCAGATGTTGTTTTTCAACCTGCCATTAATGGCCTATCTGTGCTGGTGCCTGTTTTTGCGGTGCCGGGGTCACAGCTTCCGCTCTCACATCCGTCACGTCCGAAGCCTCCCAGCTGTGCTTGTTCACCTGGCCATGGCACTCCTCCTGGCCTGGCAGCTCTATTCCTGCTATTTCCTCCAGCGAACCTATGGGACCTTGGCTTTCTTCCTCTCCCCGATGAGAATGTGGCTGGTGGCACTGACCTCAGCTCTCATTTATAAAACCTGGACACTGAAATCATCTGAGCTCAGAACTTATATAGTAGAAATGAAAAACTGTCAGTGCTCCTGAAGTACAGTATAAGTATTCCAAATTCTTTGTCTTAAAAACTGTGAAGGTACAACCTATTGTTTTGTGATGCTGGAATTCCATGCAGCTCAACCATTAGGTGGTAAGATCTGAAGTTGCACCTGCACTGCTACAGAACTGTATTAAATAGTAAATGTACAATATTTAGTACATACTTTTCTTGTATTATACCATATAGTGTATAATATATGTTATATAATACAGTTACACATTCAGTCAAATGTATAATAGTGGTTTTTTGGTGATACAGCATATGAATATGTCTGGACATGTTTGTCTATTACTGTGAACAGAAAAACATTTTTGATTTATTAAATTTTTTATTTTTATAATGCTGGGAAAAGTGAGCACAGATCTTGAAATGAGCTTCAGGATTTTTGCTTAACTTTGATTTTTATTTCAAGATTTACAAGATTTTTACAAGACTAACTGCAAGACTAGACCAGATGTCTTTATGAAGTCATAGTGGCTGCAGAAGTGCTATGGTGGCTTTCACAGCAAGAGTCCTATGCAGATACACTTTCAGTGCATAATGCTGTTACAGGTTACAGGCTGTTGGGTGTGTATATGTGTGTTTGTGGTCATGTTTACCTGAGCTGTGGCCTATTGCTCATTTCCAATTCTCCAACACCCAACCAGTGAAAAGACAGTGAAAGATCAATGTTGCTGGGATTCTCAGCTGTAGTCAGAGTTCAGCTTCAAAGCCATGGAGACCCTGTCCTCAGGATGGGAGATCCTGGAGGAATTATGTGGTCTGATGCCTACAGTGTCTGTAACTGAGCAGGTCAGGCCTGCGTTTCTGGGTCTCAGGCAAATGCACTAAAGAGTGACCTAAGGAAACTCATTTTTTTGTTTTCACTTTTTTCGAAGTCCGAGAATGATAATACAATTAGTTACATTTATGAAGAACGTAAGGATCCAGAGCCAAGAGAGCCGAGGTGCCTTGATTTGTGAAGGAAAACACTGAGTTGCTTTAGAGAAGACTGCTGTGAGTGGAACATTTAAAATACTTCAGGTAATTTTACAGTAATTTATTTATGGCTCCTTGAAAGAAAAAGGAGAGGTAACTTAGGGCTCCTGTGACTGTAGTAGAATATAGGAAAATAAATTGAATTGGAAGAAAATGTTAACTAAATCAAAGACTTTTTGTTCTTTCTAAAAGGTGACAGTTTTTCTACTCTTTAATTTGTATTCTTCAATGATTGATGATATAATAGAGCTCTTATTTGCATAAGTTAAATACACTGTTAAGACAGTACAGAATGTCATTTGTTGCTACAGAAGTTTGTTTTGCAAAGCTGTTAGAAAATCACAGGGCACAAAATCTGTTTGTGAGAAATGCTACTGAAAAATTAATAATGACATTTCACAATTACTTTTATGTGATAAGGGAGCATAAGAACTGGCAATAAAATACTTCATATTTCTACCCTGTGTCAAGACTGTGTTCTGAAGTGAGACTTTTCTTGTGGTGGTGTTAGCAGTCAATTGCAACATAAAAAAACCTCAATGTAATCATATTTCTGTAGACTTAAAAATCTTACAGTCTGTCAAATACTTATGTTTTGGCTCTGTGGGCTGTGTTTGGTAGATGGACGGAATTCTGTTAAAGCTCTCTCAATGCAATTCTTAGCGTGGCAAGCAAAGATGTTTTGTTTGTAGATACATTATCCCTGGCTCCAGCAACCCAAATAAGAATCACATGCTCCTAATGTGGTTGATACGTGAATTATATATGTATGTGAGAATAGTATAATAAATTTTGAGAGAAAGGGGCTATCCTACTGTCCTGCTGTCACAGTGAAGAGCACATTGTAGAAGCTTAGAGCACTACCCTACACAGGAAGCATCTCTGACCTTATGCTCTACAGACACAGCTATTGCAGGTTTTTGTTGCCTAAGACAAGTAAAACTTACTTTGTCTCATGTTAATTTGGATTTTCTCCTCCTTAAACGGTTTTCCAATATTCTAAAACTTTAGTAGGAAAATCCTAACTTGAGCTGTACACTTTAACACAGGAAGATTTTATTTACCAATACTCTCTTTGAAATGTCTTAATTCTTTATATCTCAGTTATTAGAGGCTAACCCCCTTGTCTGTGCTTCCAATTCAGCAGTCCCTATCATGTAGGCAAGTGGTTGCCCAAGTTAACTATAAGTAACAAAATTCACAGCACAGGATGTTTTCCCTTCAAATTCAAACAAAATAAATGGGTTCCATAAAATGAGGCCCATCTCCCAGAATCACCACTAACTTAAAGAACTACTAATAACTGGACAAACCTCTGACAACTATGCAGGTAAATAGATAAAATTATGATAAATCTGGGAACCACCCTTTTAAAAAAACTAGATTTGCTCCTCTGTTGGCCTGCGGTGCCCAGAAGGCACAAATCAACATAGCAGAGTGAAGCAAGACATTCCAGTGATAACAGGTCTGGGGTTGTCCTGATGAATTGCCTGGGTTTGGTCTTCTTTTAAAATAAAGCTCTTCTGCTCTCTAAAAGGCTACATCTGTACTGAGGAGATAATACAATATTGTGCTGTAATATATCAGCATTTACATCAGTCAGCATCAGTGTAAGATTTCGTAGTGTTACATGATTTGTGGCATTTTTTTCCAGTTTATGGATGAGTAGTGGATAAAAATATTTATTGATTTTTCTATTTGAACAGAAGCAAATGCCTTTGGCATTCATTCTTTCTGGCATATAGTTATCTTTTTTTTTTTTTTAAATAGTACTGCTGTTTCAGGGTAAACATGAGAATTCAAAGGTCTGTTGAAGTCAACAGTCCTTCACAAGCTCTTTGTTAGGACAAATCAGAACTATGTGATGTGAGCAAAACAAGTGACAGATTGTGCAACCAGACTGCTGAAGTAAGTACTGTACATACTGCTGGGGGACATTAGTATGATCTGTGACAAATCAATCTTTCATAGTATAAAAGCTGCTATTACAATACTCTAGGGCTGTTTTGGTGTGGATTTTTAATCTGTATGGAGAAGCTCCTTTAAAATAGTTAATTCCCATTTGAAACTACCTAAAAGTACACTTGAAATTATTATTCAGAAAGAAAAAAAAAACTGACAGTGTCTTCCAAATGCATTTGGTTGTCTTTTTGGTTTTCCTTTAGAAAAAGCATATGTAATTTTTCGCGTTGCTGTTTGCTTATGAAGGAATTATTGTGTTCATGGGTGAATTACATCCAAGATGCTGTGAAATGCATAACATAAATAGGAAATAGTTAACAATTTGCCCAGAGAGTTACAGGGAATGAGAAGGGGATTATGACACAGGGTCCTGCCTTATTGTTACAAACTGTGAGATATGTGAAAATTTTCCTAAGAAAGGACGTTCTTTGATGTTTAATCTTTTCTATACTTTCACACCAAATCAACAAGAAAGAAGATTTAATCCATGAAACAGCAGTGAACAAGCCAGCTCTAAGCCATGTCCAGGTGCTAGAAAAGCAAATTACTTGTTGGCCTTGATAGCTGAGGGCTTGGCGTGCTTCACAGATCTCAGGCACAGTGGGAGGTAACAAAGCTTGGGAAGAAGGATGTACCATTGATGGCGGACATGAAGAATGGAGAATTTACAGGCCACAAGGACATTTGGCAGAACCCCCAAGATAAGGAAGAAACTAATTAGGCCAACTCAGCAGCTGTGCTGAAATCAGCTCTGACTGGGTAAAAGGTAATTCCGGCAGGGGGAGATCGTGACCACTGACCCACAGACCACTGACCCAAGAAACCCACCGACTCAAGAGGAAGACTGAGCATACAGACTAGTTGCCGTGAGAAACAAGAGAATTATTAATAGAAGATTGAACAATAATTAATAAGAGACTATGCAGCTTGTAGCAAAGGAACACTAATTCCTCTGTTTGCTAAAATGTGTAACTAGTAAAAACTATAACAATGTCTCCTTTCTAAACTAGAGTATGTGTCTGTGTTTAGAGAGCTCCTGAACACCAGCCCAAACAAGCCTCTGAAGGTTGGCGGTTAAAAATGTTACAACTAACTTGAGAAATTGTGTCCTCTGCATGAACTTAGCAGGTTATAATGTGAAAACCATGGTTTACTTTGACTGTTCCCATCTTATTTTTCCCCCCCCCCCCCCCCCCCGAGGCACTTGACTAATGCTGCTAGAACTTGTATTGTCCTCCATAGCTTACCTAACTACAGGCATGCTGCTGCAATCAGGCTGCCTTTATTACAGTAAAGAATCAATACCTCAGCATGATCTCACTCTGGATCACCCCTCACATCACTGCTCTTAATAGATTTATGACTTGTGTGGATTACTAAGCAATTGCTGTAAAAATAATAGTGCTGGGAATGTTATAATTTTATCACAGTGTGTTTCAGTTGTGAAAAATAACTTCCTAGAGGATGATTACTTCTGAAAGGTGTGTCAACTCACAGTGCCAGACACGAGCTCACTCCGGACTAGCTCTTCAGCAAAGATTGTTAAAAAGAATAAAATTTGTACTTTGGACAAACAAATGTTACTTTGGAAACATAAATATATTAAACTGAGCCTTTCACCCATAACATATCAAAGGAAGATAACCATTTTAACACCTGTTCAGTAGTGGTTATTATGATTGTTTTCTTACATTCACACAACACAAACTCACCACAGTTCATAGCTGAAGTCTCTTTTGAAATATACAGGTATTTAATTATCTTGCTTTGAATACTACCCTATGTATACTTCCTTCCCAGCAGGCTGAAATAAAAGAGAACAGTCCTCTGTTTTAAGAATAAAAGACATTTCTCTCAAAACAGGCTGTTGAAATGGAAATAAAATTGATAGATTGGAGGATGCCATATATAGGGAAATGCATGTTATAGGACATTGTAACTTTTATGTGGGTTAGCGCTCAAAGGTAGAAGAAAATAGGAAAACACCATGGTGACACCATGCCCCAAAAAGCACCAAGTACTCTCATTTGTAAAAATATTTTTGCATCAATAACGATTTTCAGAAGCAGCAGCAATGAAGCCTCAGGTTAAAGCCAGATTTGCTGCAGGGTATGTGTGTGTTTTGGTTGGTCATGTGGAGGAGTTAATGGAGTGTTAATGGTTGGTCATATATTTGGAGTGGGCTGTTTTCTTTTGCATTTACATATTTGCTTTAAGAATGAACTGTAAGGACGAGGAGGCTTATTCCGAAAGATTAAATGTGATAGAGTGCATTAAGGCTAATCTGCCTGGCAGAAACTGAATGCAGAACACAGGGTGCATAGAGTGATGGTGACATTGTTTCAATCTGAATGTTCCTATCAGGCTTATGCATGTAGGAGGGAATAAAGAAAGGAAAGGGGACAATGGGCACATCAGCACACTTACTGGGGACACTGTTTGGAAAGGCTGTATTCTCATCAGCACCCTCCTCATTAAATTCAGTTGACAGGAATCCAAATCTAGAGACAGTGCTCAGGATCACTGCATTTCTTGCTGCCTCTCATTCTAATATACACACCAATTACCAAGCCATACAAGCCTACACTGCTTAACTTTCACAGTTAAGTTATTCACCTATAAATTATTCACCTATAAACAATCAATATGCAGGAATTAATAGAATTTTGCTCACCTCTTGCTTTCTGTCTTCCGTTTGCCAACTATGACAACATACTGAAGTTAGTGCATAAAAATTTTGGCTTCTCTTCCAGTGTTCTTGAAATGAAGTACCATGAGAAAGTTAAAAATGCATTGTAGTACAGGACAGGATACAGAACTTATGAAAAATGAGGGAATAACCAAACCTACAGAAACCAAGAATTGTGACTGGAGAAGCAGGAACAGGAGGAAATTATAAATCAAATTACAAAGCCAAGGACCAACTTTATCTGAACTTTGTGCTCATTAACACAGTCACATATTTTAGACAATCTAATGCTATACTCCAGGTCTCTTCTCCTCAAAGTTTATGGCAAACATCACTGCATGCTTCCTTCTTTCAGGGCCAGCTTAGGCACTACAAAATAAAAAGACTGTTTTTCATATTGCTCACAACAATATTAGGCAATTCTGATACTTGTCTTACTTTCCACAGCACACAAAATTATTTTCTTGCAGCGTTTCTTTCCCAGTCCTTGGATTCCATTTAGTTTGGCCTGGGTAGTGACTTAACGCATAACCCCATTCTGTGGACAGTTCAGCTGACTGTTCATTTTTCAAGAATCCCCACTGAGATGGTAAAAGAGCATTGTTAGACTAAAAATTCAGAGCCAAGAGAAGTTACTGAGGGAACAGAAAATCAAGTGTCTGCAACATTACCTCTGTCACTGGGCAGCCTGTTTTGAGATTCTCTGTCTGTCACCTTGGAGAGGTGAAAACCACAGTAAAACTAGTGAAAATTAGGTGATTATAACAAAAATAAGATACAGTGGATTTAGAAAAGGAATTCTAAAAAGAAAACTTCATTTAAGTCTGGAATGCAAAGATTGAGAAGAATAAATAAGGATCACCCTACACCTGAACTATCTCTGATTAAGGTCTCAGGTTGCATGCAGAGGGACCTGTAAATGAATTAGGTTTCAAGTGCTCTGAAAACAGAGGATATGATACAATAAAGAGAAATGGACAAGATAGATCAGTGGAAATTTCCTTCAAATGGCAAATGGAAATACCTTTGGTATTAGAGACTTTGAATTCTAGAACTGAAATTTTTATTGCAATTATCTGGAAAAAAATAGGAATAGTTATGTTCTGAAATGATTAACTGGATTGATTGGACTGTCAGGGAAAACTTACACTAGTAAATTAAAAATTCCTAGAGAAGTTCCTGGGCACTGAGACAATCTAGCATGGGAATGATGCACATCTACACCAGTAAATTCTTCTAAAACCAAAACTAGGTGGCTGTATACAAATTACTTACTGGAAATTGTTCCTAGTGATATCTAGTCCCTCAAGATTTGAACCAAATTTTGGACTTTTTTTTGTTGTTAATCAGTAGCTATAGCTAGGTAGATATGACTAAGCAATTTAATTGTGAAACTTGTAGTCTTGGCTAATCCTTTGTTTTAAGGGAAACAGAACACTATTCCAAAATGAATGGGCTGTCTGAACAAGAGCCATGAGGAGGGAAGTCAGCAGGACTGAGCAGTAACTGGAGCAAAGGTAATTCCAGCAGGGGAGATGGCGCCCACCAACCCATTAACCACCTACTCAAAATGGACCCATTTCAAGTATAAATGATCGCATTCCTGTTTGCAGTGCTATTTAGTTTATTAGCATCCCAAAATCTCTGCTTTCAATCCATACGGAACAACTTGATTGTTTATTTAAAAAATGGAAATTAGTATAAGTAAAAGCTTCCTCACTATTAGAGACAGAGTGCAATTATTTTTCTTAAACCAATGACTTTTACTTAGAAACTGAGACGATCTGTTTTCCAATATTGCCTCCGCTCATCATGGACTGGAAAGCAGCTTCAAGAGAAGTAATGAAATAAGTTAGTGCCAAGTAACCTTTAAAAAAAGAAACCAAAAATGGTAGAAGCAAACGTATTAAACAGCTCCCTGAAAAGGAGAGATCCCATTTTGGGCCAGTTTTGTGTCATAATTAAAAAAACCCTGATTTGTAAGCAACCGTTTGACCCTATACAGATTAAGGATTACATTTGCTGTTTTCGTGATATGTCATGCAAGCATCACAGAGAGACAAGGCATGACTGGAGAGCCCCCAAATGCTGTGGGTTTTGCAAGCCCTTGTGAGAGAAAAGGCTTATAAATATTGTATAATAGTGTGAGAAGCTGGTACAAAAGAATATACCTCTGAGTAAACAAAATATGAAAGTATGAAATATGACTGCTATATTTGACCAAATTCCTTCAAAATACATATGTATACCAGAAAGAGGCAATTAGAAATGGCTAGAATAAATTGGAACCTCTAAGATTTGGTTATCACCTAATTCTATGAGTTCCAATCTTGTGGGACTAAAGACTAAATGGACTAAATCATACTCTTCCCCCTTACTTGACAGGGAAGCATTCTTACAGTACCTTTGATCACATGGCTCATGTCACAAGACCCCCTTTATTTTTATATTTCCTTTGTTACAATATTTTGAACAGGCTACACAATATTTTGTTCTGTTAAAAAAAAATACTTTCTTTAGCAATCTGTAATATGCTTTGCCCCTTCCTGTATGTACTTTTATTTTTTGTTAGCAAATCCAGTACAACCTCTGTTAGATATTGGGCTTTTTTAAAGTATAATTTCAAAGTTGTCAAAATAGCATTTTCTTCCACTCAAGTTCTAAGAAACAGGCAGCATTTTAAACCAGTAAGATCAGGATGACTATCATCAGCAGCTAAGGTAGCAGTCTAAAAAAAAAAATCTTAATTTATATTCAATGATTTTTTTTAATGTAAAATAATTTTCTTATGGAACATTTTAATACCTCATGAAAAAATATTTTATTATAACAAATACAAAAATCTGAATTGGTAAATGAAACAAAGGAGGTAGTTAACCTCTGATATAATTGTATTTAATAAGGTGGTTATTATTCTTAGAAAATGATGTAAAAATCTTACCACCGATGTTTGCTAAGCCTTCTACCATGGTCTCTCTGACCTGTCAGTGCAAAAAAGTCCTTTTAGTTTTCTTCAAACAAGGTTAGCCTTTCACATTTTTTAGAAACATGCCAAGGAACTGCCACAGTCTAAAGATTTCTCTTGCTACAATGGACAGTGCTTTGTTTGGATCAGACTCTTTCATCAATCAGAAAAGGAACTGTTTAGTTCTTCAGTTAAATCCCTGCCCCTTCCAAAATTTCCCATCTTAGGATTTTACCAGGAAAATTTACTGATCACTAGAAGAAATAAAAACTAATTCAGACAGACCTCTGTCTGAAGGTATAATTTAAGCATATACCCATCACAAAATAATAAATGGCCATTACAAAACTTGAAATAAAATTTCAGACAAGATCCTCAGCAGCATTCTGGACACTTAACTGATCAGATATTTGAAAGCCATATTTTTGAAGGCCTGATCCTTTAAGTCAAAAGTGCACCCTGTACTGAAATAAATAATACAGACGTGAGCAGCATGTAATTAGAGACGTCTGTCATACTACAGTCAGATCATCCTCATAGGTACCTTCTAAAACAGTGCTATCTTGTAAGCTTTCAATCATACTTATGCATCCTTAAGAAAGTCTGTTCAATTCTGAGGCACAGTAAGAGAGCCGGGGACAAAGAAATTGGTCTTCTTGTAGTCAGACCATGATCTGAGGAGACAGTATCAAAGGCCATTGATCAAATCTAAAAGTTCTCACCTTCAGTTTACCTTCTTGGATCCACTGGCAGAGTTGTAATATACTAGCTTCGTGTTTGTCCATGTAGTTCAACACTAAGAATCTTTCCCTGTGAAAGAAAAGAATGAGTTTTGATATAAGAAACATTGGTAAACATTTTAAAATCTTTACAAATATTTTCCAGAAACAGCATTGTTGAAACTGAAGGGTTATGAGTACGAATTACAATGAGATGCAGCTCAGAGCTTTGCCAGCTTTTAGTGACAGCTCCATGCAGTGGGAACTTGACAGAAATATCGGTCTTAGACAAGTAATTCTGTTCAAGTATCAGAGATAAGAGTAATAAAACTGAAGTAGTATCACCAGAATAACCAAATGTCCAAAAAATGTAAGAGAATTCCTATTATTTTTTACCTTTTTCTTTTTTTTTTTTTTGGTAGTAGAGAGAATAATTAATGGGACTGCAATTAAATGGTGACTATACATTAACTTCAGGCTGCTCAAAATTTTGCATATCCTGCTGTCACAGCTTTCTATAGCAATCAAGAAACTGAAATGATCATCAAAAATCATAATTACTTGTAGCAACACACCGATTAAATTCTCCACTGTATTCTACTAATTTTATCTTTTTTTTTTTTTGAAACTGCAGACAACAGTAACAGGGACAAGAAAAGAATTCTAATTAGAAGAGGTCAATCCATTTGCATAGAAATCAAAAGTCTCCCCAACTTCGTGACAATGCAATGACTGAAAAGTCTCCTAAGACTCTGCTTCTAATCTCTGCCTTAGATGCATCTGAATCCTGATAGGAGATTCAGCAATTCCCAGAGTCACAGCAAAACTGTTTTACCTGTATATGTCACACCTACAGTCCCATTATCTAAAAACCCAAATACTAAAAATGTAATTTCAATAAAATCACTGCATCAGCTGCATCCTTACTCCAAAAATATTTGATTTTCTCTCTGCTTAATTAATACACTTTGAGAGAAGGCGCTCTGAGAAGGCACATCTGAGAACAGAACCACAGCAGCACCTTCTCTTGTACTAAAGAATCTGTTGGAAATTCCAGGACTAAATCTATCCATCACAAAAAAAGTGTAAGAACAGATATGTATGAGTCTGTGTAACAACATCACTTCCCATTTTTTATGCCGATAAAGACAAACGTAGGAGAAGGCATTTACTGACATTGTGATTACAGTTTCCTTTTTAGGCATGGCAACACTCTGCTCCGATTACACATGTCTGTTGAGGATCTACAGACTACCTTCCAAACATCAGTCACAACATCACATGTGCAATTGACCTGGAACCTGGTCACTAGTTCTGGAGGAGAAATGTACCTTGTGATGTTCCTTTCTTTCTGTATTTTTTCTATGTCAGGAGGCAGCGGAGGAGGATAAGGCACATCTTTGTTATACTGAGAAATCTGTCCACACAGGATGATATGGCTGTTCTGATTCATCTGTTTGGGACAGCACAAAGTGAGAAAAATTTCATTCCTCTGTCTCAGAAATTAAATTTCTCAGAGATGCAATAGATTGTATTGCAAAACTTTCATATGAGCCAGATTTCCTATAAAAGGGTGGGAAAATGGTATGCAACAACCTATGACAGCATTCAAATAGATAAATGCAAGGCAATAGTGGAAAAATGAAAGCTATACAGCCTAATGTAATTTAAAAAGGCACTAAATAAAAGGAAGATAAGAAATTGTTGTCTTACTGTGTGCCCTTTTTGTCAGAAGAGGGGTAATAGGACAGAGAAGTTTAATACAACTGTTGGATACAGTGTGATTTAGAAGTCCCAAAGATGCCATTGCCACCAAAGCCTCCCTGCCATGACAGAGTGGTTGTATGTTAACAGTGAAGTCTGTATGGAGGCCCAGTAGAACTAGTCCTGCATCAAGCCAGAAAAGCAAAGCTGATAAAACACAAGATTACTGAGGTGATAGACAACATTTTTATAGAATATTAACAAGTCTCCTGGCCTAAGATGTGAGAGATAAGAAGCAGAAATTGTGTTTCTATTACTGTACTGCCAGGTTGGTCCATATGACAAACACTGATTTCAAATATCTAATTTCTCCTCAAGACCAGGATCAACACCTGGGTTAGATCACTGAAGTGGAAAACCTGCTCTGCTGTGTTACAGGCTGAACTCTAGTATGAATTAATTCAAAGCTGGGCATGCAGACAGTGCAGAATAACTGGAATAAGCCTGACAGCTGGAATAATCACCTGACTTATAACCGTATCACTGATGTCTCCACCAACATTGTCAAAGTAAACATCCACACCGCCTGGGCAGAGTTCACGTAGCTGTTCTGCCACATTTCCCTTCTTGTAATTGATAGCAGCATCAAACCCCATTTCTTGGACCAAAATGGAGCACTTCTCATCTGTGCCAGCGATCCCCACCACTCTAGAGCAGCCCTCCAGACGGCCAATCTGCAGTCACACAGTTAAAAAATAAAAACAAACAAAACAAACAACTAAAAACCCCAAACCATAAAGACAAGTTAGATCATTCATCTGCATACAGATACCCGTGTGTGAAAGGGGACCTTAGAGGGTGTTACAGTTATCCCCCATCCACTGAACCCCAGGCAGTAAAGTCCAGCACACACTCCCATCTCATGAGACACAATTGCCTCTTGTCACTCCCTCCTCACACTTAGATAAGGGGAGGTACAATTTGCCATCTTTCCATAACTCACTGACTGCAGAAGATTTAATTTGTAGAGTCACCAATGACTGGCAGTACTTGAGAGCCAAATATAGTATACAATTACATCTGCTACGTAACATAACTTAGCTAACAAAAGAGAAAACAAATAGACAATAACGGATGTAAACACATTCTTCATCCATTTGCTTATGTACTATTTCTTCATAGCTTCTCTCTATTAGTAAGTCTAAATTTTGCTTAATATCTATTGTGTTTGTGTGTATACGAGTATGTATTATATATATATTTGTAGATATGCACATACACACTGCAACAGCGTGCAAAGCAGACTGAGGAGGACAAAAGGGCTGTAAAACTCAAAACACAAAGAATGTCATGGAACACAGCACAAAGAAGGGCTTACCACATTTTTTTACTGACTATTTTCTAGTATAGAAAAAAAATTTAAGTCTCTAGTCAATACAAAGACAGTGTTCAGGTGGCAGGCTACTATACAAATATATATAAATACAGGTATTTATACCATCTACTTTACTTTGCTAGCAACAAGTAATACCGTGGACTGTTCTCTCCTATCCCAGTTTCACGACACTTACTTTCCCACCTAAAATCTGTCTCAGTGAGAGTGTGCGCCGAATCCATGAAACTGGCCCTTCCCATGGGGTTATACCTACTCATGTTTACAATGATTTTATCCACATGTTTAGTAACTAGCATGTTCCAGCATGTTCCAGAAGACAAAACTTAGTCACAGAGTACATTCATGTGTCTCAAGCCCATCCTACCTGGCCGGCCAAAGAGCCGCAGGCACCGGCTGCTCCGCTCACCACCATTGTCTGATTCGCACCCACAGCCACGTGTCCCTTCTCCCTGACACCCAGCAGGGCCGTCAGTCCCGTGATGCCAGCTGCGCCGAGGAAGTAGGAAAGGCGTCCATTCACAAGCTGTGGAACAAGCTACAGAACAGAGAGGTGTGTGGTCTTCATTTGTTTTTAAGGTGAGGTTTTGCTGTTTGATTGACTGAGGGTATTTTCCAAGCAAGGCACAACTGGTAGGGGAGGAGCTATCTCTAAATTAGGTCTATTCTAACAACAAGTTCATATAAAAACTTTTTATTTCCATAGCTTTAGAAAAAGTTTTTAAGCAAAGTCACTCACAAAAACTTAAATTATGGAAGAGTCAAAAAGCAGTTGGGAGACAAGAGGTTTGCAGCAAGTGAACAATTCCTATAAGGAATAAAAGGAGCCATTTTATCAAATACTGTGATTGCAGATCCGTGGCAAAGGGTCCTAAAGGAAGGAGTTTATTTGAAAGTATAAATTCTCCAACTGCAATAATTTTCTGTGTTACAAGAGAACGATCAACACAACATATCTAGTGCACTGTTCCCTCTCCACTTTCAACTTAATATTGAATACCCTTTCTTCTGTGGAAGTAATATCTCAAGTAAAAGCTTACAATAACATATATTAGTGAAATAAATTAAATTAAACATATCTAAAGCTTTTTTTTTCTTACAACTACAATCTCATGGATCAGGAGTTCTACTAGAATTAGAATACTTATCAGATTTAATTAACAGAAGGAGTTTCATGTAAATTTATTTAAAAACAACAATTGAAATAATACTGGCGTGTATGGTAACCAACAAAAGCATTTACATTTTTCTTTGTTATGAAAAAAGGAGACATTGATACAGGTTTTGGCACCTATGACTGGATCTGCCTTTTGAAAACTAGTTGTTCAAATAACGTTGGTTTGTTTTTGACTAAAAAATAGTATCATTAACAGTAGTTAACATCAATAGCATCAGCAGTTATTTAGGAACAAAAAAAAAGGTTTAGTAAAAGAAATAGTGACAACCCAGGCTTTGCATTTATATTACCTTCTGTAGCAAGCTGCCATCTAGAATTGCCACTGTCTGCCAGGGCCAGGTGAAGGAAGTTACAAAGTCTCCTTCAGCAAGGTTATCATGCTTGCTCTCCTCCACGACCCCAACACCACCACCATCAGCAACTTCAGAGAGCTGCCAGGGCTGCAGGTAATCGGAGCCAGTGTCCTCATTCATTCGGCAGCGCTGAAAGACAAGGCTTTAAGTGGAGCAGATGTGTTTAAAACTTCAAACAAAAAGGGCTCCTCAAAAATCTCTCAGGAAGTCCCAAATATTCATAATATTGTCTTAGACCCCTCTCTCCCCTTGTTTGCTCAGTACAAAAGGAGGATGGACCATTCTGATCTCCTCCAGCAGTGTCACCAAAGCAAACACATTCTACAGATGTTGCCTCAAAGGCACCTGTACAATCAAAGATGACTGGCTCAGATCTGATGAGAATACTACAAATTCCATTCCTTTACTGAATGAATCTTAGAAATGTAGGATTGTAAAAATACCCACAAATCACTTAGACCATGCCTGTGCACTGAAGGGCAGTCAAACATGTGTAGACCATCCTTGACAGAGATCTGTTTAATGAAACGTCTTGAAATATTGAATTCTTTACATCTCCCCCTGTTGCCTAAGTTAGTACTTCAGGATTATTAAACTTCTTCTTAATTCCCAAGCTAAACCTACTTTCCAGAAATTTAGACTTTTCTACTATCTCCATCTATGCAGGGAATAAATGCTCAGAATTCTCTTTATAGCAAACTTTTACAGACTATGCCTCTCTGGTTCTTCTCCCACCTTCACTTTCATTTCCACCCCAACTCTCCCAACCACATGATTTCTACAACTGTACAGAATTAGAAAATACATATATAAGAAAGGCAAAATTCTTATAGAATTTTAAAGTTTAAAGAAAAAGCTGATACAAGCAAATCTGTAATGGTACACCAGGGTTCTCAGTCCCTTCCTACTTCTATAAAGTCATATTCCTATATTTATCTAAGGCACATTAAAGCCGACTTCCTTCCCAGTACAACTCCACCAAAATTAATACAATTGCTAAGTTATACTAGAGATATACCAGAGTCCTATAACTGGTAACTTTGGTGTTAAACATCATGACAGGTACAGAGTTGAAGGTATTTTATAAAACACATTCTGGCTTAGCTCTAAGTCCATCACCTACCATGTAAGGGTCCACAGAGAGATAGAGGGTTTTAACACGCACTTGTCCTGCTTGGATTGTATCCGCTATTGTACTTTGTTCCAGTCGGAAGTTTTCAGCCACTGGCACTCCATTCTTCCCTGGAATTATTTTTAAATCAAACAAATAAATGAATCAATACAGAGCTTCCCTTAATCAATATGGGAAGGCCTTTTTTCAAGGTAGTGCTTTTTAGAGTAAGTTAGGTTATACATTTACTCAGGTATAAAACTACCTACCAACTTCCAGATTTTGTATCAAACTACAATTTAAATGGGTGCGCTTCCACCATCCAAGCTGAAGACACACTGATATGTCAGCTTGAGTGCCCCTGGTGGTGCAGTGGCTAAACCACAGCGCTGTCAACACTGAGACCCGGGTTCGATTCCTGGTTAGGACACTCCCCGGGCAGATGGAGCTCGTTAGCCCTGTAAGGCAATCCATCTACGTCCTGAGGACCTCACTGCCACCGTCCAAGCTCACTTGGCCCCGGCAGATGAACCTCAGGATTAAAGGGTGGGCTCAGTTCCGCGCACACTGTGTCTCACCTAAAAAATCCAATGCGCAGGCTGGAAGGTGGAAAGACCTTCCCCGGTTCTTCATTCGCGAAGACTGGCCATTATTATGCCAGCTTATGCCTACCTGAGCCAGTACCAGGTATGTGCACTGACTGACAGTTTCCATGCTGCTTGCTACACATGATTGTTATGAATAATTAGGGTAAATTTAAAAAAAAAAAATAATCAGGAACTGTTCCCACTTAAAAATGGTTCTGTATACTCCAACATGATAAAAAGCCTCTAATGGTCAAAACTAAGACATGCACTGGGACTTCTCTCACATAACAAAATCATCATGCACTGTTCTGCCAAGAGCAAATGACCATACATTTTAACCAGTTTTAAACTCTCACCTTTCTGCCTCTTTTGAATCAAGTAGAACTGAGGGAATACAGATCACAGCCACTGCACATGCATATGCTTCAAGAGCCATCCCTTCGCATATACAGATAGACCTCTTTAAATTAAAGCTTTCCAAAAACACCTGTAAAACTGCACCAAGAGCCCCAGAACCAGAGCCTTCATCCTCAGCTTGGTACCACATGCAGCAGATCAATCAGACTGACAGTTGGAACCACTGGCACTAAAAGGAGACAGCCAGACACCCTTGTATATTTTAAGTCAGAGTGCACAACGCCAGCAGGCTGGTGCTGTAACATTTTGAAAGACTTATTTGCACGTCACACAATAGTTCTTACTGCTTAGGACTATTTTGGCTTTAAGCAGCATACAATAGTCCCTGCAAAACTTAATGTCTTCTACAACAGAAAATCTATGAACTCACTATTTAAACTATTGTGCTGACATCCATAACAAGGCAAATGCGTAAGCAAGAAAGTAAACAAAACCTCAAGGGTATAAATTTATAAATTTAAAATACAAACACTTTGAAACATGGAAAAAAAGATCCGATATTTACAAAAAAAGAAGCAAAAATTAATAGTAACAAAATATTTTAGTCATCTCTTAAAATGAAAGAACAAATGTCAGAACTAAGAAGCCATGTTTGCTAATCTTTCTTCCCTTTCAACCCCTAAAGACTTTTCTCATATATTAATCATTAACCCTTTTTTTCTCACCCAAGAGTTTAGAAATCCGTATATACAGACTAAATAAAAGCACTTCACAACAAACTTTATTTATTGCTGTCTGCAATGTTAAGACACACAAATGCCAATATCTCAAGTTAGTGCCTGTTTCTACCCTCAGCATTTTGGAGCATAAGGCAATCATAACACACACAATTGCTTCTTTATCAGAGAGAAATACATACCAGGTCGTGAATTCAGCACTACTCTCTGTATAATCATCTCTGCTTTGCAGCAATTTCACGCTGGATTTCTACAAAAGAAAATGTTGTTTGAAGGACTGAAATATAAGTTTTCTTGAAAACAGAATATGGAACGGGGCGAAATACTCAGTAATTTGGAAACTGGGGATGAAAGATGGGCCCTACCAACTTCAGCATCCATAACCTAGAATCATATAATCATTTAAACCAACCTCACACATAAAATAAACAAATGTGTGGAGTTTCCCAATTTATCTTGTTAAAGCCATGACTTTATGCAATGTCACAGTAGCACATGCTCGAAAGACTGAAAATTATAACGTCCCATGCTCCTTGTAAGATCATTCCTAGGTTGTAGGAAATGTGTTTGGTTCACTTTCCTGTGCTGACTGAGAACACTGTTCCCACACAAGACACAGAGATAGCTTTGCATTCAAAGTCAGGTGCCACTCAATAAAAGGCACATCAGAATATAATTTTGCAGGTACTTGACAAAAAGAGATTGTTATGTAAGATGTTTTGTGTAAAACAGCAATTCTTTCTACTAGCAGTGTATTTTCTCCTAAGAAATGGTCTGGCCCAGAGATAAGAAACAATTAGATTTCCACTTGATCTGACCTACAGAATAATTTTTCCTTGACTTTCAACAGTTTAAAAGAGGACTGTAAATCTGTGGTCTTGCACTTGTAAGATACCAAAATGATTAAGAGGAAATTAACCTGACTTAACAGGAGAAAAATCATGATTTTACATGCTTTCAGAGCCAATACAAAATAAAAGTGTTACTACTATTCTCAGCAGAGTGCCATAAATAACCAACATCCACAAGAACCAGGGACATTATGGAATGAAACATGATAACTGATGTCTTTGTCATAATGTTTATTTTGCCGACAAGAACAGCAAATTGGAGTGAAGCTAAAAGATGAGCCTCGAAAGTACATCATCACCACTTACATTACAGCACTCAAAACCATAAAAAATACAGCCTGGAGTGCTGAAAACATAATTAATAAGTTATCAGGAGAAAGGCATCTCTGGCCTTTCCCTCTCCTCTAAAAGCCTCAACTGACTCAAAACACGAGTATCTTATTAAAAAAAAAAAAAAAAAAAAAAAAAAAAAAAAAAAAAAAAAAAAAAAAAAAAAAAAAAAAAAAAAAAAAAAAAAA